ATCTGTCACTCATTAAAAAGAAAGCAWGTATAATGCTATCTTACATTACATGTGCCTGGAACGTTTATAATTGGAAAGAATTACAGCTTCCATCTGTGTTTTTAATTTCTCCCATTTCAAATACCTCTCCTCAATCTCCTCATAAAACACACACAGGCAGTATTTCATTGCATATAGATATAATGTAGATATCAAAACTTAAGAKCATCAGTCTTTACACAGCACTCACGGGTTCTAAACTCTAAATCTGAAGCTCATCTGGCAACTCTCTCATTAGAGTGGCTTCAGTTTTCATTTCTTGCTCTTTCTGACTGCAAATTTAACGTTACAGGATGGGAAGGCAAAAGCAGCACCTTGTACTTTGCTGCTTCAGCTCCCTCTTGTCAAAATATCCCTGCTGTCAGTGGTGCCATGCTGGGAGATCCCCATGACCTAAACCTAGAAGTTTGGAATGCCTTTCTAAAGATCCTCCCATGTTCCAGTGAATAGCAGGAGCTTGCTGTTAACGTATCTGATTGCTCTCGCTGGCTTGGATGTGCTGCCAGCCAGAGGAAATCAAGATTAAACTTCTGTAATTCTCCAGTGGTTTAAAGAATTAGCAGGAAAAAGTAATTTTAGGAAAGTGTACAGGGGAATTTGCCATTGATGTATAATTACTTTAACTCAGAAGATTGCTTACATCACATGTGAAATGAATGATGAAAGCTCAGTTGATTACAGCATAGCCATGCTAATAAATACAAATAATCCCTGCATTAATAAGTGCCTGTGTTGGCAATTTGTTCAGCCACAGTCCTAAAACTCCACAGTGCTGAGAACTAAAATTCTAARTTTCAAGTAACATTTCTTTTCTTTTAAATTTATTTTAAAGTTTCTCTGAATCTCATCAAAGCACAAACTCCGGCTTATAAATACCATTGATTGCCACTCCCGTTCTCTTTCCTGTTTCTCTTTGAAATAACCCCGAGTCTTCTACTCGCTTGGAAAAGCACAGGGGCACCTTGACTCTTTGCCTTGGAGTTGGATGCTGAAGAAAGATCAAGCACAAGTCTGGCTTGTGTCGGGCATGATCCTGCCTGGGACTGAAGGSGCTCAGTCTGGCATGGACAGAGCTGAGCTCTCTCTGTGCTCCACGGAACGAACCCCTCCGTGACTTCCCTCACAAATCCACATCTCGAGCCCTGCCAAGTCCCCTTTCTATCCCAAGTTTCCTAGACACATGCTACAGGCTTTTCTGACAGCAGGGAGCTTGGCAGCTGTTTGAACTGCGAGAGCACCTGCTGCGTTAAGCTCATTTTCCATTCTTAGTGCTTCTTCCTTCCTTCCTTYTTTCRTTCTCGGGCTGGGGATCTGGCTAAGGGGGAGATCACAGGCCAGGGCTTGCTGGTTTAAATAAATATGTCATTAAAAAATAAACCAAGAAACAAACCCTGTATCAAGGAGAATTCAAACAATAGGCTAGAAGGATCTTTGGTGCAAGAGRGGAAGCCCGGCACAGCAAGGTGGAACAGATCATGATCAGATCAGCTGAGAAACTCCAGTGCCTTTTGTAGTCATCTATGACAAAGAATCCTTTGCATATTAAGATATCTTACATATTAAATGTCATGGAATAATTGGTGTTTTATAGGAGGACTTAGAGTGACTCTCATGGGGACCAATCTTGAAGGGGTAAATGAAGTGCTGTTTGGATCCCAACCTTGCCCAATTTTGGAGGAGGGCAGAAATTCAACAAGAATTGAATGCAAAGTTCCTTCTCGGGTAAGAAACCACATTTTTTTTGGGGAGTAGTCAGCAGCCAATGTGCCTCCCAATGTTTTCCTGGCCTGAGCTACTCTAGGGGAAGGGCAAAGAGCAGCCCTTCAGCCAGGTCGTGGCTGTGGAACAATTTACTGTGGACTCTAGAGATTAGATCAGTTTAATTAAAAATAGATTAATACGTGATTTATGAAAAACAGTGGAAAATGCAAGCTTCTTAATTTAGTAAGGATGTTGCAAATMAAAAACTGTGTACTCTGGAATTTTATTATTGGTTCATGTGAATAAAATTATTCTACTTCCTTAATACCCTTTTTTTCCCCTAATGAGACAGTCATATAGTACACTAAGGTTAACAATCACTTCAATTCACAGGAAACCCAAACACTTAGAAAAACCCATAAAACCAATCCAGCAATGGCAAGTTCTAGTGCTTGGGCCTTGCTTCTCCTTTTCTTTGCTGGTTTTCATGCTAGTTTAATTTACTAGCATGAATATAGCAAATCCAAATCTGCGTAGTCTGGGCTTGTTTTAAGGTTTCTAAATCTCCACAGAAGCTCCTTTAAAGCCAACATAAACATACACATTTAAGCAGAGTCTGGTGTATGTGCAAGTGCCATCAGTGCCACGTGGCTGTCTTTAGCATGGGAGATGCAGAAATACAGGAAATAACTTTTTTTTTTAATTGGTTTATTCTTATGGCTGACATATTTTTCTCTCTCTGCTTAGGGGACGGAAGATGCTGCTGTCCCCGTGACTCTGATTTCTGGATACCAATCAACAACAGTAACCAACTTGTTCCATTATGATCCTTCCTTAAACCCTGCTGTTGTCTCCCTGAGCAGGAACAGAAGTGGCATTGCAGGTGAAAGGACTGCAGATGTGTGTTGGACATCTTCTGAAGAAGGGTTGTTATTGCTGACAGTGCTAGGGCAGAGGGAATTTAGATCTATAAAGTTTGGTCTGATACTTGTTTTCTTTTAAAATTTCTTTTAAATTACCAGTCCTGGTCATTTTTTGATAGTTTTTTCCTCCAGCATACATGAGATTTTGGGTTGTTTGCCCTAGGTCAGTATGGACAATGTGCACAGAATATCCTTCTCCAGGACCCCCAAGTGTTGAGCAGAAAGAGCATCGTGTGCATTTTAGATTGCTAAAAGCAGGGAATCGGCAACACTTCTTTTACCTGGTTCCCATTTCCAAGCCAAACTCTTCCTTCCAGTGTGACCTTGTGATGTGTTACTTTAGAACACGAACATAGACTTCACAGAATTCATGGGGACAAAATCTAATTAGATAACGTGGAGTATTTGGTATTCCTGTCTTTTGAAAGTTTCTATTTGGAGTTGTTTGTTTGTTTTTCCTGATTTCCCTCATTTTTTCCCCTAGGATTTTAGTTGGGTGTAGGGAATAAGACAGTATTAATGGTGAAGGATGTCCACTTATAAACAAGTCTTTTAGGAAGTTTTAGAACATTTCTGTATGGCAGACACCGGTTTCTTGGTATTTGAGAGAAAGAGGAAGAAAGATGGGAGGAAGACAGAAACCTTCCTGTTTTGTTTTTTTTTTACCTAGCCCATTTCAGTTCCTCCAAGAATGTAATAATCTGACTTTTCTCTCTATTTTGCAACCTCTTCAGTGAACATCTTAAAGCTCCCCCCAGCTCCCAAGTTTGGTTGGACTTGGTGGGGATGCACAGGTGACTGTCAGTACTGAAATTCTCCGTGCACTCYCAGCATTTCTATTCATTTTCCCAAATGCCCTTGTCATTCTCTATTACTCCAGAATGCATAAATAAGAGAAAATGTCCTTTATCATCTGAATATTATTCAGATAGCACAGCACCAAGGGGAGGTTTTTGTAGCCGCGGGCAGCCCAGGTGCAAGGAATTCCTTAATGTTACAGTGTCTCATGAGCTGTGGTGGGGCTGAGTTCAATCTCCTATTCAGAACCTCCATGGYTTAGTCTTTTAATATAATTTTCCCTCTATATAATAAAAAGAATAAATAAATTACACCGATGCCTTCCAGGCAKCTGGGATTAAGCTGACAATTGACCAAGAGTCCAAAGAGTTCAYGTTATTAGCATATTCAACTTCTCAGGCTTTCAAACTTTATTTGAGTCTTTGTGAATACAGAATTGAAAAGTACCAGCTCCAAGAGGAGCAGGAAGTTGAGGGGAGTTTAGTACCAGGCTCTCCTGCGTCTTGGCAGCTTCTTCCTCCCTCCTTCATCTTTCAAGGGAGACAGGAGGATGAGATTCACCTCCTAAACACATCTCTGTGCTCATTGTTTGGATGTTTTGCATGGTCATGGAAGAGAAATGGATGGTTCTGTGATGGGATTTGCCACAGCTTTTTTGTGTGCCTTACAGGAAGAAGAATTGTGCCATAAAGTGTCTTTATCTCTTCACTGACCACAGATAGAGCTATCAATAAAAATGCCTTTATTTGGGCTGATGGATGCCATCCTAATTTTTCCTATTATTCTGTATTTCAGGAGGAATTTCCTATTACTCAGCTATTTCAGGAGGAATTTAGGTTATGATAATCCCCTGTCTCTTGTTTTTGTCCTTTCCCATTACTCCACATTGCACAAATAAAGGAAAGTGTCCTCTACCATTTGAACCCACTTTGACGCACAACAGCTTAAATAGGAGATAGAGTTGTGATTACTGAAAATAAGATGCTCAGGAGCAGAGCTGGTTTTGCCTGGAACAGAGCTAATTTTCTTCACAGTGACTCGTGTGGGGCTGGGTTTTGGGGTGCTGAAAGTGGTGTTGATTGACACRGGGAGGTTTTGTTGTTGMTGAGCAGGGTTTGCAGAGAGTCCAGGGCTCTTGTGTTCCTCAACCCACCAGTGAGCAGGCTGGGGGTGCACAAGGATTTGGGAAGGGRWCACAGCTGGGACAGCTGACCCCGAGTGACCCAAGRGATATTTCAGAAAAGTATATAAAGCTGTGGGAGGAAGGAGGTAGAAGGAACCATTCAGAGTGATGGCATTTTGTCTTCCCGAGCCACCATTCCATGTGATGGAGCCCCTCTGGGATGGCTGAACACCATTGGAAGTGGAGAATGATGTCTTGGTTTGCTTTGCACACACAACTTTTGCTTTACTCATTTAACTGTCTCTGTCTCCACCCATGAGTTTCCTCCCTTTTACTCTCCCARTTCTCTTCCCCACCCCACTGCAGGGCAGGGAGTGTGGGGCTGAGATGCCAGCTGGGGTTAAACCATGAAAAGCACATCCAACTTTAAGTACCCAAGGAAATTTTCATTTTACTGGAGAAGACTCTGGTTAGTACTAGATAGCTCCATAATGCTAAAAACCAAGCTCTAGATCATTAATCAGGGACTTAGAAAAGATCTGAGAACTCCTCAGCTCCAGACCTTTTAAAAAGCTTTTTAAAAGACTGGATCTGGCTTTTATCAGGTTCAGATATTATAGGAGAGACATTTATGGTAAGAGGATCGTATACCTTTATCCTGAGAGTGGTCACAACCAAATTCTCTGTGATGATGTCTTGAGACAATCCTAATAGCTGGTGACTTTATCCTGGAGGGTCTGAGTAGGATAGAGAACGACTGCAACCTCCAACACTTTGGGTTTGGGCTGATGGACGTGGCTAGATCTATTCTGGCATGATAGGGGTCTGATCTTCCTCGGGCAATGGTCACATGTGATMAAATACCCATGGCCACAAACAMTGAAAARGTTCCYTTCCTTTCTCTRCAGSAGGTGAGGAACTTCACATTGGAATWTCCCAGTTTGCCAGCTACCAGGGCTCAGATGTCAAGGTCCAAATCGGGGACTCGTGGCTGCAGATCCAGGCRCAGACAGACCGTGGTGTTAATGTGACACTTCCAGCCCTCCCTGCAGGGTGGTACAACCTTTCTGTCCTCATCAATGGCATTGCTGTCGCTTCAAACAGGTGTGTGTTTTCATTATGGGTTTCRTTCTCCATCCTATTTGGTGTTTTAGGGTTAATCTGGAAAGGAAAGTAAGAGGTTTTTTTTCACAGATTTCGTACCTAACGGTGAATTTTCTGCAGCGTGGTATGAAATTATGAATAATTATCAAGGCATTTATTGATCCGTGGAGCCCAAGTCAGCAAACTGCTAATGTTAGTCAATTAACTCCCCTTGGATCAGTAGGAGGCAGGAGAGAAACATTTTAGGAAAAAAACAGTTGATTTGATGAAAAATGCATATTCAGGCAATCAAAGGCATTCRCAGATTCAGGTCAAATGCAGATAAATCCTGCTGTAGGAAAACAGCAGAAGAAAAGAAGCACTTTTCATCAGAAAAACAAAAGCTAGTTTGAACAATACAAAAATGCTTTGTTTGGAGAATTTTTAAATGATGCTATTTCCATCTCCTAAGGTGACACTTCAAGTTCATGCCTRGATAAATGTAATAGAAATGAATTAAAATACGGGGGAAAGCTGACCTAAAATTGGGATATAGAAATACACTCACAAGCAGCACAGTTTTGTTCCTCAGCCACAKCAGCTGCCAGGAGTGATCCTGAAATTATGGCATTGGGGAGAAACTAGGTGTTTTTATTGCTCACAACCCAATCTAATCTGCTTGTAGCACTAATGAACATCAGAAGGAGAAAATTTGTGGTTGGTGGGATGGCACACAGGGATTCATCCCAGCTGGAGTCTGTTAGCAGCACCATCACTCCATCTCCAGGGATAGACTGGAAGGAGATGGGTCATCCCAYGAGACCACTCTGATCTCTGGTGGGCTGGATTGCAGGATTGGGAAGGTCCCTTCTCTAACGTGTTTTTAGGAAAGGGGATGTTTTTGAAAGGAGGGTGATGAAGAAAAATAGATACAGATGGGACAGAAACAGCTACACCTTTACCTGGGTGGGCTTTAGGAGCTCATGTCTGGGTTTCCTCTTGTTCCAKTTACTCCACTCTCTGGTGGGAGGGTGTGAGGAGAGGAGGCAGCTGGGATGCCTCTTCAATGTACTTTCACTGGGCATAGCTACAGTGGGTTCTGCTTGCGAAAAAATCCTTTTTCTTGCTTCCTTTGATGGGCAATTCAGTTGGACTCAATTTGGCCCCAGAGTTGTCAACTGACAAGAAAGTATTTGTGATGGATGTAGCTCAAATGTGTCCCTGCCATGGCTAGGGGGCTGGAACRAGATTATCCTTAAGGTCCCTWYCAACTMAAACCATTCTGGGATTCTAAATCACATGGAAAAGTCTGGGGTGTGGGTCTTGTCACTGTGACATTTAACAAAGGGGGTTGTGCCYGGTGGGTGCTTGGCTTTCCAGGAGTTCTAAGAAAGAAAAGTACTGCAGCAGGGAGGCAAAATAAAAGAACACCCCTAAGTGCCCCAAATCCTTTCCATGTTGCTTGTGTTTTGCAGGGTTGAGCCAGTAATCCAGTACCTCTCTGAGATCTTCGGCGTCCAGCCGTGCTGTGGCTCTGTTCTGGGTAAACAGAGGGTAAAATCTGTTCTGGGTAAAATCTGCAGCCACTTACAGAGGTTAAAGGGATCAAGGGCACAGTTTTCCTGCAGGAATGGAAAGTGCATCCTGTTTTGCATGCATTTAAATGAGGATAATTCGAATCTGTGACCCTTTATCGTGCAGCCATCAGCAGGCAGACAGCAGCAGTCTGGAAATGTGGGATTGCAGTGAACATCCCTCCCCCTGGTTGGCTGGCTCAGGGCTCCCTGTGCCTTGATTTCGATTTCCCCAAGTGTTTGCTCACATATCCTTGCACATTTCCATCGGGGAAACAAAGCACGCCCACACCTGGCTCATCTGTGCTGCTTCCTTCAGTCTCTTTGCCCCCATCTTTCAAGGTTTTCCATGTGAAAGTTAGGTGGAAGGCAGAGTACAATTGTGGTTTGAAGCAAACAATAATTTCAAGCGATCCCAAAAGGGATGTTCATTTTTGTTATGTTGAAAAGACAAAATGAAAAAAAAAAACCCTTTTTCAATGTTAATTTTAATCAAAAGGGAAATATTTATTAATCCTGTTCTAAGCTTTTAGACATTGGAAATAATTTAAGTGTGTTTCTGAGCAGGACATCAGTGAATTAGAAAGAAAACTTTTACTTTAAACCTTAAAAAACAGATTTGGGGTGGTTGATTTATTTTGTCATTTGGCTGGTGGTGGGGGAGAGTGGAATCCCTGTAGTGAATTTTACATGAGCCCTTAGAAATGCTTTTATAGAAGACAGAGAAATTGTGCTACAACCTCAGGTCCTCCACAGAAAGCTCTCCCAGGCTCACAACACATTTGAAGACACAAAAATTCAGAGGCTTTGTGGTACATGATTAGTTCAATAGTTTGTGAAGTGCTCAAGCCTTGAAAGATGAGAGAGTGGATAGAGCTTGKAGAGCAAATCCTATCAGTTTTGAAGATAAAGCCACACTACAAAAAATAATAAAAGTTTTTCCCCCCTTTTTGTATTTCAGGGTAAATTGAAAATTAAATAAGAACTGATTAACCCCTTAGTTGTGGTTTTACGAACAGCTTAAACTGAATTAAAATCTCTTTGCTRCAAAAAGCAGCAGTCCCTCCCCACTTACCTGTAGTCTTTTGTAGTCTCTAACACTCGTGCATGMATCAGGGTTAAGGATTTGGGCTCAYTTGAAAAAAAMCCCATCATAAACCAATTTATTTTTCAGCCAGGTCATGGAAAAAGGAGGGGGATGGGCTTAATGGGTAAAGAGATTGAAGAGAGGCAGGACCCTGGAAGTACCAGTACTACAAATAAAAGCAGGATGGAGAGARGATTTGGGTGGGCTCTTCCCTGTGAGGGGGGTGAGGCCCTGACACATGTTTTGTCCAGAGAAGCTCTGCTTGCCCCTGGAAGTGTCCAAGGTCAGGCTGGATGGGGCTTGGATCACCCTGGGATCATGGGAGGTGTCCCTGCCCACAGCAAGGGTTGGGATGAGATGTTCTTAGAGGTCCCTTCCAACCCAAACCATTCTGTGGTTCTGTCAAATCTGACACCCTGACTCTGAGCCTGAAAATATTCACTATCAAATTCTGCTTCTCTGTAGCCAGCACCATAAACCACCTCCCCACCTACTCACCCACCTACCTCCTTTATGGACAATCCCATTCCATGCAGAATTCACCCTCTGTTTACTCTCAGGGGTCCTTTCACAGCAGTTTTCTCCTGTTCTGTAGTGGCTTTCTACTGCTGCAAAGGTTTCTGCCTGTTCATTTAGTCTCTTGTCCATGTAGGATTATCCTGATGTATGTCAGCTATTGTCTCTAGATATCTTCAAACAAAAAAGGACTTGATTTACTTGATTTCTTCTTCCCTTCAGCCTGTCATAATTATCAGTTTYATCACAGAGTGGTTTGGGTTGGGAGGGAACCTAAAGATCATGATTTCAGATTGTTCAGAGATAGTAATGAATTCCTTTCCTGCATGTAATACTTTTCAAGCCTTATCTTGTTTTGCCCCTAGGTGGAACACTGCTCACAATCTCTGGGGTGGGCTTTAGCCGAAATCCTGCCCTGGTTTCTGTCTCAATGGACAATSAAACCTGCACAGTCACTCACCTGGAAGAAGAGACAGTTTGGTGCCTGACCCCACCAGCTGCTAATTTGTCTGATGAAGATTCACTTGACATCTCTGTCAGAGTAAACGTAGCCATCAGCAGTGGGTCACTCAAACACTCTCTCTTTGCCAATAGAACCATCACTTTTAACTATAAAAGAGCTTTGACTCCCCTCGTTACTGCTGTTGAAACGGAAATCACAGATGGAAACCTGGTCTTGAGCATCCAGGGGGTAAACATCACTGGATCTGTGGCTAAGCTTGATCACARCGAATGTCAACTCGAGTTTCAACGTGGCAACCACTCTGCAATGTCTTATCAGTGCTCTTTGCCACTGAACAGCCTGGAAGCTGGGACTTTCCCCATCCAGGTCATCCAGAGGCAGCTGGGATATGCTCAGGTGACAGCAAAGCAGCAGGYCCTCACAATAACTCCCCAGATAACCTCCATATTCCCATCACAAGGATCAATCTGCGGTGGGATGTTGCTCACTATTTTAGGCATTGCTTTGAAATCCAGGAGGAATTTGGTACAGGTCAGCCTGGGGAGGAATTACTCCTGTGAGATCCAGAAGTSTGACAATGACACCATCAGCTGTGTTGTCCTTGCAGGGCCCCACCCTTTGCATGGTCAGTGGCCRGCTGAGGCATCTCGGGCTCTCAATGTCACCCTAGTTGTCAATGGGGTCCCCAGCGTGTGCCTTGGGGACTGCACRCTGCACCTTGAGGAGCACTGGACGCCCCTGGTGCACCTGGTGACATGGAGGACCAACGGGACATTCACCTACGTGACAATCAGGGGACAGAGGCTGGCGTGGCAGGGTGACATGGTGGTACACATAGACAGCCACGCTGTGTGCAAGGTGACATTCTGGAACGAGACTGTTATCGAGTGCCAGACAGCCTGCTTGGCCCCCGGGGAGCACAACATCTCCATATCCAACAGGAAAAGCGGCCTTGCTTGTTTCAGAGGGACAGCTGGCCTTCTCACCGTCCTGCCCTGGGTGTACCAGTTTTACCCACGGAATTTCAGCACCAACGGGGGAGGCCTGCTCAGCTTGGCAGGGAYGGCTCTGAAGGGAAAGAGGATGACTTCTGTCCTCATAGACCATCGCCCCTGCCACATTCTCAATGTCACCTGTGTGCTTATCCAGTGCACGGTGCCTCCGGGGAACGGCACGAGGGCTCTGAGTCTGAAAGTAGATGGACACTCCTATTAYCTTGGGAAAATAACTTACAGTGAGGAATTTACACCTTCTTTCCTTTCTCTTGATGCCAGTGGTCTCCTTTTAACTTTGACAGTGTCACAGGTCACAGAGATGGACACAATCCACGTGTTYATTGGAGATCTTCTTTGTAACAACACCACCATCACTCGCTCCATGCTGCAGTGCTCAGCTCCTCTGCTCCCTGTGGGCAAGTACCCTGTGCTGGGCCTGGATATTCCCAGAGGATGGGCTTCCTCCAACCTGACATTCACTTCTCATCTGGCAGTGACAGCTGCACATCACAACTGGGGTAAGTTGTGAGGGCTGCTGCAGTTCCTCCACGGGATTTTATGTAAGGCATTGCAGTAACAGGGTTTCTTCGTAATGAAAGCAAAAATAATTAATTAAAAAAAACTTTTGTCAATGGCTGGCTGTCAGGCTCTGTCTTAAATCCCATTTTCTRTCCTTTTCCAAGGTGGCTTGGGTGGAGGACCAGTTTACCTGCGTGGCACTGGGTTTTCCCCAGGGAAGACTTTGGTCACAGTCTGTGGCGCCAGCTGTGAACTCTTGGACACCATGACAGTGACTGAGCTGGGCTGCCTCGCCCCACSCCTACACGGTCAGTGAAAACACAAACTCTGGCATTGTGTCAGAAATATCCCCTAAAATCTTGACCCCAAATAGATAGCCCTAATGTATGCCATCCCAGGGGAATAAAGGGCAGCCATGGAGAGAGGGGAGGAGCCAACACAGCGYTGATAAATTTTGGACTTTATGATCTTGGATGTAYTTTTCAACCGTAATGATTCCAYGATTCTGTGACTTCTGGTTTTTGAACTCAGTTAAAGAGAGAAGGCATCAAGGTGAGTTTTTGTGTCAGCGGCCATGGATGCTGGACTTGGTCCAACCTGTGCCTGTGGCCATGTGTGCACGACCTCAATGTTTCCTCGTGGCAGTTATTCCTTGGAAAAGCTGCCCCACATAAAATGTGAATGTGGACTGAAGGGTTAGGTACCCAAACACCTCTTGGCCATCATGATCATCCTAATGATTTAAACTCCCTTAAACACMTTTTCTTCTGRGAAARCAGCCTCAAGTTGCACCAGGGAGGGTTTATTTTAGGTATTAGAAAAATATCTTCCCAGAAAATATTTTCAAGCATTGGAAGAGCACGCCCAAGGAAGTGTTGGAGTCATCATCYCTGKAWGAGTTAAAAAAATAYGTGTAKGTGGCACTTGAGGACATGGTTTAGGGGTGAATGYGGCACTGGTGAGATGATGGTTGGATATGATGACCTTGAAGGTCTTTTCCAGCCTTAACAATTCTTTGATTCTGTGGCCACACACATTTTGTGTTTTGGCTGCATGGTGGGATGGCCTCAGTGGGGTCAATATGTAGAAGAAAAAGGTTGAATGACTGGAAGGGTGATCAAATGATGTTACCACGGCCAGTTCATACCTTTGGGGAGCTGGAGATGAGGGTTTGATTTCCTTGATTCATCATCACCAGAACTTCTTCCTTAAATGAAGGAAAGCAGCATGGAATGATATTCTCCACATTTCTCAAACAGGGAAATAACCCTGCCTGAATTTTGGAGAAACTCTTCAAAATGAGCATTTCCTTGGATAAGATGTCTCTTCCTTTGGAAAGGAAGCACAGAATTAGGTACCTCAGATCACCAGAAGGCAGGAATTAAGACTTTTAAATCTCACTTGAACTGTGTGCCATTGCCCAAACGCTAAACATGGAGCACCCACCCACCTTGGTTTCTGACTCCTTGGTGGAGTCCCCAACYCTGGAGATACCCAAGGAAYKAMTGGATGTGGCAYTCAGTGCTSTGGTCTGGGTGACAAGRTGGGGATTGGTCAAAGGTTGGACTCTGCAGTCTTGGAAATCTTTTTTTCAGTGATTCCAATACTTGGAAACTTAACACATCAGCCCTTCATAGCTCTGAAGTAGGAGAATATCTGGAGCTCTGCAGAAATATTTGCTGTTTTGATGTCCAGACATCCAAAATCCAGGTGATCCAAAGATCCATGACTTCTTATACTTTGTGGATGTGAAACAAAAGTGGCGAATGAGAGTGTCCACCAGGGAAAATTTCCATGGGTTTGTTCATAGGTATGTGGAATATCCATTCTCCAAAACAGCAGTTGAATAAATTATGTGCCCAGAAACCACTCCAATGTGAAATTTTAACATTCTTTTGAGCAAGGGTTGGGACAGGAGGCATCCAGGTGTTCTCTTCATCCTCACTTATTCCAAAATTCTAAATTTTGAATAGTTAAATTCTAAATTCCTGTCATTTTGAATGGTTCTTTTAGTAGAATTCCCGAATGATTTTTGTTGGAAGGAACCTGAAAGGTCCCCTTGTTCCAACCCCACTGCAATGAGGAATACTGAGAAAATTGGATGGGAAAAAAAAGAAGGGCTTTAAAACCCAACCACAAGCACTCAAAAAGAGACATGAGGGGATCATAAATGGCTTGGTTTTCTTTGTTTTAAACAAGACACAGGCACAGTCCACAAAACTGCTTGTTATTTTAAAAATAACATGGTGATGGAGCGCTGGAAAAAAAAAAAATCAAAGGACAAAACGGGTCACCCTGGTTCTTGCAGGGAGAACAGCATACTAAMATTTAATTAAATTCATCCAAACTGCGTTCGAAACTCACTGAGTGGCTGATGGCAGAAGGAGCTTGGGAGAAGCAATCTTACAGACAGGACCATGATTCTTGTTCCCATCACTAGATGTCAGCAAATGAATGCTGATCGCTGCTCCTGCGTCTGGGRAGGAAATGCAAAGAAAACATCGCCTCACTAACCAAAGGCACAGTTGCAAGACAACCCCTCTATTACCTGCCCTGGGTTTTGCAGCCGTGCCAGTCTCACCAGTCGAGTTGCAAAATATTTGTTAATTAAACATTTACAAGCAAATATATATTTCTTTTTCTTTTTNTTTTTTTTTTTTCTCCTTGTCTTAAAAAGATAAAAATCATTTTTGCAGGCTGCTCATACCTATGTTTGTCAGGCTGTTTGTGCTTCCTGAGACAGTTGTGTTCAGCCTGTGCATCTACATCTGGCATGGGTGAATCTGTATATAGAGCAAGATGCTTTCCAGRCACTGTTCCACTTAATGCTTAATATTTTAAGATATTTTTTAAAATATATTTAAGGATTTAATCCTTAAATGTAAAAATATAAACGTTCCCACCACGTTTAGGGCATGAATGGATGGTTTAAGTGCAGTTAGTCAGTCTCACCTCGTGGTTTACATCGTGCTCTTTGCCTGGGGAATTTTGCCACTCGGAGCTGGCACATCCAGTGCTCAGACCTTTCTTGCACCTTCTCATCCATATGGGAGAGGGGGCAAAGAGACTGCAGGGATACAGGAACATGAGCTGTGAAGGACKGGCAGGGAGAGGTCTGTGGTTCCCCATGGCCCCTCGGTGCTGTTTTCAAGCTGGACATTTGTCTGACCTTTCTCAGCTTCGCTCGCCAAACYGGGTCGTGAAAAGTGAAGAGTTTAAGCTGCATTTCTTCTGTTACTGAGGGCTGTGAAGCAGAACCCACTCCCCTCTGGCACTGTGGGATGTCAGGTGGCACTGGCTGCCCCTTGCTCTCAGTGCTGGGTCATGTTGTGTCTGGCCTGCTCGAGATTAGAGATGTCCATGTAGCTCTCTCATGTGATCCATCGGGCAAGGCTCTGCAGGTAGCAAATGTGACTTCTCTCCCTTTGAGCAGGCAGTTTTCTAAGAGGTGAGGAGCTGCCAGGCTCAGCAGGATCCATCCATAAGCCTCCCCCTTGGGATTTGCCTTAGGAATTGCTGTGGAGAGGGGTCACAGTGAAGTTTTGGTTTGATCACTGGCACGTCCTGAGATGTGCTTGATCCAGAGCACAAGGAATGGGAGTGCAGGACCAGACTCCTTCATGGAGACTGTTGTCTTTTGCAAAATGCAGAAAGATCGATTCAGAACAGAGCTAAAATTTGATTTTCAGCCCTAAAGCTTAAAAAAAAAATTAACAAAATTAAATGAAATTTCTCAAAACCACACTCCCTCCAAGGAAAAACAAAACCAAATGAAGAAAGCCCAAATAAGCCCGTGAGTCTTTAAAAGTAAAGAGATAAATGGCTTGATCACCATGCCTGGAAGCATTCAAAAGCCATGTAGRTGTGGCACCTGGGGACAYRATTTAGTGGTGAACATGGCAGTGCTGGGGGAATGGTTGGGCTGAGTCTTMGAGGGCTTTTCCAACCAAAATGATTCTCTGATCATGAAAACTCTCCCCTTTTCTTGTTCTTGCTTTGTTTCTCATGCTGTTGCATGTTTGGTGAGTGCAAATGCAGCTGTGAATTTGTTTCAGCTCGGGTTAAATTCACAGAAAATGTGGCCAACATCTGTGGGATCAGTTGTGCTCCTGTGAAAGATGGGAAGGAAGCTTGAGGCAAGTGAGAAAATAACTGGTTATTCCTCTCAGGAATAATCAGAGGAATAATCATTGGTGATACTGGAGTAAGCACCATATATAATTTGGTAATTATATTACTATACAGGTAGTAAACCTGTCCCTGAGATTTTGTTTGACATTTGGGTGAGGGTAAGGAAGGCACCTTTAAAAGGAGGTGATCTGCTAAGAAGATCCATCAGAGTAAATGCTGAGCCTGTTTGCCTGGTTGCATGAGCATGCTTGGAGTAACAGGTCTGGCTTTAGGGGTTTTGAATTAACAGCTGTTGGGATTTTCCTTGGCAAGTGCTGGCTTGCCAGCTACCATTAACCAGACTCCACTGGCAAAAGTGGATGTTTAAGGCAGAGGGTTTAGATTAGAGGCTGGAAATAAGGCTGGCTCAAAARGATGAGAGATGTGGTGTGATGGAACTTTTTGAATGGTCAAGAGGAGAGAGAGGAATGAGTTTTGGTTGTAGCAAGGTGATGCACTGAGCCAGGATCAGTAAAGACTAAAAGCAGGGAAATCTGAGAATTTGTACGAGCAAATGCAGGAGATATGAAGAGGGCTTGTTGTGGTGTTGTGGCAATTGAGACCTCAGGACAAGCCAGTGCCTCTGATGTTYATTGTGGAGACCAAACCAAAGCATCCAAATGGTCCTTTCTATCTTTCAAATCCAAAAATGAAATTAAGAAAGAAGAGGGAAAAAAGCATATTGATGGCAGGGCAGGAATGTTTGACAGTGATATCTATCAGGCAGGGAATGGATGCTTGAAAAGCACCTCTTTGGACTCCTGAAACCTGKCTGTGTGAAATGAGTGTCTCTCTTCTCAGGGAGCAATTCTTCACAGGCAGAGGTGGGACTCAATGACCTTAACAGGTCTCTTTTTCCTCTCCTTTTTTTATGAATTTCTTTATTTTTTTCAAATCTTTGTCCTCCCTGCTGAGCACACATTGGTGCTCCCCAGTCCAAAACTGCGTTTTGTGAGCAGTGGGTAACTGGGATGTGATTTTTGGCACTGACACTCCTCGGGCACTTCTTCAATCAATCCYCAGCTGCCCTTGGAGCCTCCTGCAGGTTTTAGCCTCATCACATGTCCAGCAGTTGTTATTAAACAGTGACCCAGAACAAAGCCCTTGTGCTGAGCATCCCAGGATCCTGGATTAAGCCAGAGTATCCCTCAAAGCCAGAGTTGGGGGTAGTCAGTTCCTAAGCCATTACCACCACGCAGAGATTTGGCTGCCGTAGTGTCTGATCTCAAAAGAGGAGCTGTAATGAGCTGAGTGCATTCATCCCAGCCATGGGATTGCAGGTTTGATCTTTATAGGGAGTATAAAGCCTAAAGCAGCTTCATTCTGGGGTTTGAACACTAACCAATTAAGCAGGGAGAAGAATTGTGTCCCAGAACAAGCAGAATATCCTTTTAGGATGTGCCAAAAGTGTGTTGAAATCTTTAGTTGATATTTTTTTTTTGCCGCCGTTAGGGTAGGAGATAATGGGGCTATTTGTGTTTCATGGTCAGAGGAATGGGAATGGAAAGGCCAAGRCTTCCTCCTGAATGAAGAAAGATATAAAGTCCTCTGGGAGGARGGGAATAGGAGGATCTTGGAGATCCCCAAGGAAGGAATGAGAAAAGAACATCACCTCTAAGAGTGGTGTCTCCATCTGACAGACAGGAGATGYGGGGTCTGGAGATGAGATTCTTCCCTCCTTCCACCTGAGAGAGAGAAAAAGATTCTGAGTTTGATTCTGGGGTACAGATTAAGTAGGGTTTTGTTGGATTTTGTTAACACTGATCTCTTTGCAGTCCTTTATAACCAGGTTCTTTAATTTAGGTTTTATAAATGAACACCTTTGTTTGCCTGGTTTGAGTGAAAAATTATTTCAGCCCTTGGCAGGATATAAGGCCTCATGTTCCTACAGACGTGATAATGGTGGGATGAGGGCACTGCAGCACATCAGAATGCCCAGTTTCCACATTTTTGGGGTTATTCAAAAAGTGACAGACTGTTCTTGAGCTGAGCTCTCAGGGCTGTGCAGGAAACACCTTCTGGTGACCTACATGAGCCAGGCAAGTTCTTTGACAGCAACAAAATGTTGAGGAAAACCATCATGTCCTGAGATTCTRTGAGCAATTTCCAACATTTGTCCCAAAATAGAGTTCAAATGGTTTTCCACATAGGAAAACTCAGCCATATTCTTTTCAAGGCCACAAAAGAAAACCAAAGCCTTCCTGTAGTGAGTTTGTTCTGCTGCAGGTTGTTGCAAAGGCAAGTTCTTTGCAGCATTTAGCCCTCTTGGATGCCATTTATCTGTCAAAACACAGATATTTGGTGCTGCTTGAGRTTAATTTTTAATATTTTAAAGTATTTAATCCTTACATCACACCTGTTGTTGATTTACCAGAGAGATCTCTGGATATCCTGAATTGAGGGGGGGAAGAAAGAAACACAACTGGCATTTACTGTATAAAGACAGCAAGACATGAATTGTACTATTTTAAAAAATTTGTTTAAAAATATAAAAAAATAGAAGTATCCAATTAAAATGAATTTTAAAAAAATATTGGAATGTCAAGAAAGACATGAGGCTTTTGTGGGAGCTGCAGGACACCTGAGGTCTGCATTGTCCTGAGGACACCTGAGGATTTATTGTCCATAAATCCTGTCTAGACAGAATTTATGGACAATAAAAGCAAAATATTACCATGGTGCCACCATTCTTTTAGGCTTCTCTGCCTATAACTTGTCCTAGAATTAGGTCTTCAAGGCTGGAATTTTGTTTGGCTGTGTTTGGGTGCCGAGAAAGAGAATTACCACTGGATTTGGGGAAGGAAAAGGATTAAGGATATTGCAAAATTTGTGAGTGTGTGGGTAACGWTTTTTTGTCATTCAAAATCCAGAGAAGAAAAATAGAGAATTGTAAACTCTGTCTCTGAAGTTCAGAGCAGATGAAATGATGGGTTTTAATATTTCAAAAACACCTGAAACATTAAACAGTTATAAACTCTTCAGAAATACCCCTTATGAAATAATAATTTTTAGCACAATGTGYTAAATATTTTAATATAGGAAATAGAGCATCTTCATATTTTTACATCGACCCCCATTTTTTAGAATTACCTAGGAGACAAGATATTCATTGACAATGACGCTTCCCCAGCAAACAAGGTACCTTTTGAACAAACTGGAACTTACAAAAGCAAATAAAAAACCCCTTTTCTTGATAAATTTCCATTAATTGGATTTCTGATACTGGAGGAATACTCTTGGATGTTGCAGTGTAGTCTGTTATGCTGTCCATAGACCTTTTGAGGAGTTAATTACAACTACTTGGTTAGTTCAGGACTAAGGAATATTCTCCATAACTCAGAACTTTGAGAAAAAATGGTTTTAATTTTTGTCATGGTGTAATGCTTAAAGGACTCATTTTTAAAATTATCAAACCCAAATATTTCAACTGAATCTGAACTTTAGTTACATTTCATAATATTATTTTTTAGCATTTTTTGTCTCGATTTACAATAAGAAAACCTAATTTCTGTTCACGGAATCACATTGAATTGTTTAGTTTGGAAAAGATCTCAAAGATAACCAAGTCCTTTCTGTGACCAATCCCCACCTTGTCACCCAGCCCAGAGCACTGAGTGCCACGTCCAGTCCTTCCTTGGACACCTCCAGGGATGGGGACTCCAAACCTCCCTGGACAGCCCCTTCCAATGCTGGACAACCTTTTTCATGAAAAAAATTCTTCCAGACATTCACACCACCTGCTCCTTAAATACAAATCAAAGCAAAACTGCTACTGCCATTACCCTTTTTACCACATCCATGGGGTCAAACTTGGACCAYATCTCAAGTCACACTCAGCTTTAAAGCAAGATGGGAGATCCCAGTTTCCACCAGTTTCCTGGAAGCCCTTCCAGCTGTGGCAATGCTTCCATGCCATCTGCTCCTGGATTTCAAAGTTACTATAGATATTGTCACATCTCCTTGGTAAAAGGTTTGTGCAGTATCCCCGATCTGTAAACCATGGTCTATCTCCCCCAGAAGAAATGTCCATGCTCCTGTTTAATCCCTTTTATTATCTACTCCTGGACAGAGCAGTTTGATGGTCCCAAAGACCGTCCTGATGCCTGGGGCACAAAGGAGGTTACATTTTGTTCACACAAAGCAAATGGGGTGGAGGAGTTTTGTGGAGACATAATTATCCCCAAAAAGGATGGGCCTAAAGAGGGGTTGGGTGCACACCAGGAGTCAAAGAATCATGGAATGGTTTGGGTTGGAAGGGGCTTTTAAATTCATGGAATTCCATGTGCAGGGACACCTTCTACAATTAATTAAAATATGTTCAATGTCAGTGGTATTTGGGCTTCTTTGGGTTACTTTTTTTTTTCCTCTCCTGTCTTTTTAGCCTCCTTGGCTGCTCTCTGTGGTCTGACACATTCTTCTGCCAGCTGCCAAGAGGACAGAGCCACCTTCATTGAATGTGACATCCAAGTCACAGTGGGCACCTCCCAGCAGAGAGGATCCGTGTCCTACCTCTATGTCTGCGGGGACAGCCCGCCCCAGGGACATTTTGCTGGACTCTTTGCCAGGTTAGTGCCATGTCCCTTCAAAATCCCAGTGGGTCCACCCATGAATAACATCCCCCACGTGTTATTCCACCTTTTACAGAATTTTTGTAAATTCCTTTTTACAGAATTTTGCAAAATTCAACCTTTTACATATTTGGCCCCTGCCAAATAATGGATTAAAGGAGCCAATTCCTAATTCACAGCKGATGCCARTAGAACAGTTCAGCCTTGAGACCACTAGAGAGCTCYGCYGGSTTGTGGAATTCATYCCYTGTGCYTATCAAAGCATCTCCAGTCCCCACTCCTTCCCTCCTGCCTTTTTAAAGTGTTTGAGAGACATCAGAAAATCCATCTCGTAAACAGCCTGCTTTGTTCCTTCTTAGGTTTTAATATTTATCTTCTGATCCAAAGCAACATCTGGTGGATGCCAATGGGAAAAAAGATTAGGCTTTATGAAAAGCAGAAGTCTTCTTTTTTTTCTATTTTTTTCCTTTCTTTCCCCCCTTCCTTCTTCTTTTTTTTATTCTCTCTGTCTTTCTCTAAGCAGTTTCATGAGAAAAAAGTCACTGAGTAAATTCAGCAGGGTGATGGATTGCAGGGGTGCAAGAGTTCTCATGCTTTGCAGATCCAAAGCCAAGTTTTCCAGGAGTATAACCTGGAACTGTTGTCTTTGATGGAACAGTGGGGATTTATTCCTGCAGAGCATTTACTTCTAGGAGTAAGTGGGATGTCTGAATTAAGGAATAAACAGATTTCATAGAAGGTTTGGGTTGGGGGAGACCATGAAGATCATCTCGTTCCACGCCCTGACATGGGCAGGGACACCTTCCACTGTCCCAGGGTGCTCCAAGCCCTGTCCAGCCTGGCCTTGGACACTTCCAGGGATCCCGGGGCAGCCACAGCTTCTCTGGGAACCCTGTGCCAGGGCCTCCCCACCCTCACAGGGAAGAATTTTTTCCTAATCTCTCATCTAAATCTCCCCTCCTTCAGTTTGGAGCCATTCCTTCTTATCCTATCACTCCCTTGGGAAAAGTTCCTCTCCAGGCTTCTTGTAACCCCTCCTTTAGACACTGGAACAAGCTGAACAAACCTTTTCAGAAGTTATTTAGTAAACAGAGAATA